TCCCAGAAGGAAAAAGGAAAAAAAAAAAAAAAAAAAAAAAGACAGATACAGAGGATACAGAGGAATGGGACAAACCACCTGAAAGCTATGATGTAAAAATCCCTTTTGAAATACGCAGGCTCATTCATATACATATGGAGGACACCTGGAGAGCAGCAATTTAAGAGAAGCCTAAGGAGCAGAGTGGACAGAATGAAACACATGTTTTAGAAGGGAAAAAAGGCCTGTGTGGTTTTAGGCAACATATTTAGGACCAGGGATCCAGAGGAAAGGCTCTCAGGACTATGCGGTCAGACATTAAATTGTAAGCTGTAGACAGCAGAGGGTTTTTTGTCTTGTTTTGGTTTTTTATCTTTTTTTTCTTGAAGCTGCACCTTGCTCTCAGGGAACCCAGCCATGGCCCAGTTATAGCCGTGAGGGAAGCACTTAAAATGACACAACTAACCAAGAATAATGAGACACAGAGAAATACTAGAAGTTCAAATGGAAGAAATACAAATGGTAGCAAGGTTGCCAAACATTCATTAATGGAGGAAATAAAGTGCCCGTAGCATGGGATTTGCAAACAGCCTGCCAGTCTAGAAGGGTCCAAATAACCTAAAGAGAGAGGAATAATTTTTAAGCTGTATAATTAGAAAAAGCAAAGTGAGATTCTGTAGATTTAAAACACCAGAGGAAATCCAATGTACGCCATTCACAAGGCTCAGCAAGAGCTGACTGTAGAAAATGGTCTTTCTGAAAACAGGGGAAGACCAGCAATGATCCCAACTGTAAAACACGCTGACCATTAGCCACCTGGCATTGCACGAAGCTACAAAAAGAGCACGCTCTATTTGCAAACAACCGCAGAGCCAAACCTCACTCAGGTCTTTCCCCTTGAGAGGAAAGGGCTGCCCTTTTGGGGCAGCTGACCTGGGATTGGGGTTTGGTTCCCGGCTCTGTCATGAGCTGCATGTGAACCTCCAAGCGAGGCATGTAGCTGGTCTGGGCCTCAGCCTTCCACTCATGGACCTGGGGTCACAACACCGTCCCACCTCCCGGGGCTGCTCAGGGGTTGCCTACATGCGGGATGGCAGGGTGGTCAGAGTGTGAGGGGGACTGCATCCCTCCGGGGGAGGCTGAAAAGCTGTAGCTGGGCTGCAAAGACCATACGTGCTTGTCCCACATCTGAGGGACAAGGGTGCTCGCGCTCTCTTGAATAAATCTGTTCGGTAGGGTGGAGTCTGCCTTATTTTTACTCTACATGCAAATTATATCCCTCAACAACCTCACTGCAAATATTTTCTGGTTTCTCACACCCTGCCCTGGGCAGGAGCAGGCTGTTTTCCCTGCAGATCTTCTGGCTTCCTTTGGAGTTTTGGGTTTGGGCTATTTTGATTTTAAAGAAGCGAGAGAAGCTTGTGAGACAGGGCGAGTTGCAGGGAAAAAACAAAAACCAAACAACCAGAGGGAAAAAAAGGCAGGTGAAGCTGTTCTGCTAAACCCCGCTCTCCCCGTGCCGGCGGCGCAAGATGCCATGGGCTCCAACTTCGCCACCTCCTCCAGGCGACAGGCGAAGAAACAAACCTCCCCGGGTGAGATGCAACACCCACCTTCCCCCTCCTCCGGCTCAGCCCTGGCAGTGCAGTCTTACCTGTTTGCCAGCAGCAGCGAGGCAAAGGAGAAGGAGCCAGCAGCCTGACGGGACGGGCATGTCTGGGTGTCCGTCTCTGCCTCCTCCTGTGGCTCCTTTTCCTGCCACCGAAGAGAAACTAGATCCTTCCAGCCAAGCCCCCGCACCCTGGCAGCAGAGCGAGGCACATTTGAGCTAGCTACTTCTCTTTCTTCCTTTCCTTCCTCTCAGCTACACGAGGGGAGAAGAGAGAAGAAGAAGAAGAAGAGAGAAAAAAAAAAAAAAAAAAGGGCCTGGCTGTAGTTCCCACAGCATGAGACTTGTCTTGGAGTTTTTTTTTTTTTTTTTTCCCCTCTTCTTGTCCCTCCCTTTCCTTTCTCCTCCCCCTTTTGCAAGAAGTTTAGTCACCATGCCCACGTCCCTCCTCCTGCCGATGGGGACTGCTTTCCCGGTCCTTCTCAGCCAGGCCATCCATCCACCTGCCTCCCACCCACCCTCTGCGCCCTCCCTTCCCAGCCCTCCTTTCACCTGGCACCTTCCCTCCTTGTGCAGCTGTCCCATAATTGCCTCCTCTGGATATTGCCTTACGCTGTCAGAGGACATCTTAGGCCTCGGCCATGCCTCGGATGGCCTCCCACCTCGCTCTCTGATCTGCCCTGGCAGAACCGCCCTCCTGCCAGCACCTGCCCCCAGCGGTGGGGAAAGCCTCCCGTGCCGCCCCATCCCCTGCCCCATCTCTGCTCCCACAAAACAGCCCTGTGGGTGCCAGCCTTGGTGTTTTGGTGCAGCTCAAGACCTCCCAAGTACTTTGTTTTGGCCGATGGCGGGACCTGGCAGGTGGGATTGCTGCCAGGGGAAAGAAAAGCGGAAGATGTGCTTTGGGAGCTCTCCTAAAACACCCTGTGCCATGCAGGGGGTCAGTCCCTGGCACCTGATTTGGGAAGTGAGTGCCAAGTGGCCTCCCGCCCCCCCAAAACACGGGCATTGCGGACACTGCCAACCCAGCAGCAACAGCCTTGCCCGGCAAAAGAGCGGCTGCAGCTGGTGGCGTGCCGTCCAATTCCAGGCAGAGCTCGTGATGCCCCTTGACTTCTGAAGGGCGCAGGAGTCTTCTGCAGTGGGGCAGGACAGGGCAGTGCCGCACGGCAGCGCCGATTTACGGGGTTCTGAGGAGCCGGCAGAGCTGACCGTGTTGTTACACCACCTTCCCTGCCTCCCTGCGCTGTGAAATAAGCCGGGAGCATGCTTCTGACTTGAGTGAATAAGGAAGTTGTTCTTTCACTTGTGTATTTAGATTTAACCCTTGACCAGGGAAAAAAAAAAGTTATTTATAAGTTGCTTTATGTTTGCAAATAAATAAATAAATTCAAACACAAAAAATGAAGAGTATATAAAACAAAAAATCCTTTACCTGTGCTGCTGAGGTCTGATTTCTGCTCAGAAGAGCGATCCTGAGAACCAGGGAGCACTCGGGCTGGAAACGGCTGCCAGGTTTCTCTCCTGTAGCTAGCATGGAGACCCTGCCTGCATGGCAAAACAAAGCTATGACCTTCACTTCACCTCTACGTAGTTTCCAGGGGCCATAAAGCCAGACATTTTTAATCTTCCTAAAGTTTCTTTCAACACTTAACACCCCCAATGTCCTCTGCAAGCGTTGGGCCCTGCCCGATCTGCACTCAAGCAGGTCTCAGCGCCCACGTTCCCCCACCTGGTCTCCAACATGGCGTGGCTGTTCAGGCACTGGTAGCTCCTACATGGGTTTGATGCTCCACAATGGGATATGGAGCAAAACAACGCTGCACGACGTGCCTGGCTTACGGCCAGTGGCTGGTCCTGCTGCCCGTTCACCTCAAGAAGAGCTAGGGCAAGGGACGTGCCGACAGGTTTTCGCAAGCCATAGAGCTTGCAATTGCAGCATCAGAGCCCTGTTAACCTGCCAGAGGAGTCGGGGTCTCACCACACCTGGGCTGGACAGGCTACAGCTCTAGTACCAAACAGAAATTGAGTTGGGGGTGAGGGGTGGGAGGGATGGCCGCAGCACCCAGCTTGCCCGGTAGGCAAGATGTACAAAGCCGACTTCACTGGGGGCTTTGCAAGGTAAGGCACGAGGCGTGGGTAACGTACGTGCCCGGCTGCCGGCAGCAGTGCTATTCCTATTCCCCGTCGGTCCTGGAGTGAGCCTGGTGAGACAGCGCGGCAGCGCCGGGTGGAGATCCTTCTGCCAGAGCCACGTCCACCCACTGCCGAAAACTCACAGCCCTGTGCCGGCCGGGGTGTTTTAAAATGTTCGTATTTAAGGTACAAGGAAATGTTTCTTTTTAAACAGAACAGTCTGTTAAGTCTCTTCCCCTTTTCACATTTAGCACAGTACCAAGGCTATAGGCTGTGTTTATTTACCAGCTGCTCATTCTAACCACAGATTTACAGGAGCGAACTCACACTGTCATGAGCAGTTAGACACACTATAGGCTCGCTCTGAAGGTGTTGAGTAACGGCTTTGAAGGCATTGAGTAAAGCCAAGCCCTGTTCAGCTCAGAGGAGCTCCAGATAGTTCAGTATTGCACGTTAGCTCGATTACTTTTGCGTTCTCATCCCCGATCCTGCCTGAAGTATTTCTTGTTCAGGCTGAAATTCTCATTTTCTACCCCTACGTGAAAACAGCCTTCTTTTTGAAAGCTCAGACATTTTCTTCAGAGTTGAATTTTATGTTTCTGAGCCCAAACCCGCAGAAGCCACTACTGGGTGCTTTATAGTCTTAATTATGTATTGCAGGAGATCGTTAGAAACTGAAATGTGAATGCTCAAAAATATGAACTAGGGATTGTACAGGAGAAAATGCTGTCAATGCTCTCACGTTTATTGCATATATCATTCTATGTAGCACCAGTAAAAACTAAAAATTTACACCAAAACTGGTTTGTCAGCCTTTCCTTTTATAGAAAAGATTTTTTTTTTTCTATTATAGAACACTAGTTTTTCAGCTACCTTTGCAAAGCACCTATTTTGAATAAAACCAAAATGCTTGAAATCTGAAAGTTTCAAACTTACGGTGGCATTTGGGTGCCTCCTGTTTCTGTTCACCACTGTGGCATGCGAGCCTAAACTGGACTGGCCTTCAGGCTGCTCTTTAGCTAAAGAAGAGAGATGGAAAACCATGTGCAGCCTTAGAAGTGTGACAGAATCAAAATAGTCCCCTGGATAATATCAGGATCCCTTCCTTGGTGAAGCCTGCCATGGAAAACAAACCGTGAGCACGGCTGACTGCTTAGCAGGTCTGCAGGCAGTACAGATCTCTTCTTACCTCCTTCCTAGAGAGAAAAAAGTGGAAATTACATGCTAAAGTGGAAATTACATACTAAATAATATTTTAAAAGAACTACAGCATTCAATGTAATACCACAAGTCATGTAACTGAAAATGAAACCGCTTCAGCGTCAGTGTAAAAATGCCTCTTTTCCAAGAGCTTGGATAAACAGCGACTAACTCCCAGGCAAGCCCTGAATTTGACTCCCGGCTTTCCAAAACTTTCAACCTGAAAAGCAAAGATAAGGAATGGTTCAGTGGGTGCACCAGTCGACTGGGCATCTGAACAGCACCTGTAGGCTCACGTTCATGTCCCCAGCTATTCCTTCACTGTATCCATGCCGCTGAACTCCCCTGCCCCTTACCTGCACAAGGGCCCCAGCCCCTCGTGATGCCCCATTTCCCCGGGAGTGAGAACTAGGAGGCTGCGTGTTAAAACCTGGGTCTCTGAAACGACACGAAAGAAACCCATGCAGAGAGGCAAAACTGAAAGGCACATGGCTGTACCCCAGGATGCCTTTTCACACGGCGCAGGAAGGCTGTGGAGGTGCTCCCATTCTCCTGCCTCTCACAGCCTGCCGAGGGACAGGGGATGAGATGAAGGGTTTTGTTGGATCTAGATCAACGTTTTTCTTCCACTAGATGTCATAAAGGTTGGTTGGGGTTTCAGACTCTGAACTAAATACAGGCTTTGTAAATATAAGCGCCTGCCTTTCGGCAGGTGAGCGAGAAATCCAAGACGTGCAAAGTTAGAGCTCTAGGAAAGAGTCCCTTAAATCAGGGGGATGCCTTGGGGGGCAGGTGGGTCGCAGTGCAGCTTCTGGAGTACCAGCAACCCGTGCATGGAGTCCATCACGGGGCCAGGGAGAAAGGCTACCTCATCACCCACCACAGGGAGAGGGCCCTACCATATGACTCAATATGTGGAGCTTTCTACACTGGGCTAAAGAGAAAAAAAGGTCGGAAAATATCTGCACACTTTTAGCACAGGGGGCTCTAATTTCATTTGAGGTCTCTAGCTATTAAAATAAATCAATTAAAAAAAAAATCTATTATTTACCAAAACCAAAAAGATTCATACACAAACCATGCCATCAACTTGAAACTGTTTTCTTCCTGTGAAACGCAAGCTTCTGTAGCAGACTATTGCCCGATCTCCTTGAGATTTTCAAACGCACAAATATTTTTCATGACAGAGCAACTATAATGAAGCTCGTCACATTGGTGTGGTTTACACAACACACCTTTTACAATCCCACAAAAACATACCAGTGCTGAATGCCTGTCAAAAACCTGAAGTTTGCAGCATTCAAAAGGAAAAAGCTCACAACCAGCCACCACTAATGTGTCGAATATCTGAAGAACGTGCAAGCAGCACACACTGAACTGATAGGTTATCACCAACCACTGTGGCAGTAACAATGCCTACGTACTTCTGGAAGGAAATACAAAGTTGTGGTGAATTTTTAACTTTGAATATTTGTTCATGCTTACAAGAGAGACCAACCTGATGACATCTAAGGCTTAAGTCATTTATTCATCCTTAAGACAAGAGCAATACTGGCACAAACTGGGGAGCTTGCACTGCCCAGGATACACCTCAAGCTCTGTCCTGCCTGGAGATGTCTCTTTAACACTGCCAAACACCCACCAACCCCTCAGCAGGAGGACTGAGACCACAACTCCTTCGAAACACCATAGAACACCCCATTACCAGTTCCACAGAGCCACCCTGTCATTTTATCTAACAGCACACTCAACAATCTTGAACTTCTTTGAAAACTCACCGGAATACTGAGATGACTCATACTTAGATCAATAGAGTGCATTCATCCCTCAGCAAAGGATCAGATCTAAATGAAACTTTATTGCCTATTGAACACTACAGCTGCTTCTTCCCTGTCCCCACTTCCCCAATCCCCTTGCAGCATATTTAAAGGGAAGGTGTAACACGCCTGGCAGAATGACTCACGGGATCCTACAAGGCACAGGCTTCGCTACAGCTGCTG